TTTCCCTTGACTTTCCTCCTGTCCCACTATCATGCTCAGTCCCCACCAGGGTTTCAGCAATTCTTCTTTGTTACATTACCCTTGATCATGCTCTACCAGGCCTCCCACACCCACCTCACCACCAATTTGGATCACTTGTTGTTCCGTTGTCCCTGGGTTTGTTAACACCACTTCCTTTCCCCTCCGCCTCCCCCTCTCCCATGTCCCCAGGAACTGGCAGTCCCATTGTTTTCTCCTCCAGATTGTTCATCCAGCCTGTCCTACCTAAACAGACCTGCAGAGATAACAGCATGCACAAAAACAAGACAGAGCAAAACCAAGCAACAATATACAGCAAAACAACAACAAACCACTGACAAAAAGCAAAACACAACAAGAAAGAAAGCTTGTAGTTAGTTCAAGGATCGTTTGTTGGCTCCTAGGAGTGCTCTCCAGTCCAGTCTGTTGGGGCATCATGCCCTGGCCTAAAAGTCTGACTTCAGCATTCCCTGGGGACCTTGCTGCTCCATTCCCTTGCTGTTCCACTGCTCCCTTCAGTGCTTTGCCTCAGTGTGGCAGGATCAGATGGGCGTGATTCCCACACTGTGTCTACGGTGCTATCCCCCACAGGGCCACGGGTCAGTGAGGGGCATCATGTCTAATAGTGGGGCTGGCCATGTAGTCCTCTCTGTGGACTGGCTGCTCTAATTGGGGTCATTGTCCTCAATGCCTGGTGGGCCAGGATGTGCTCCAGTCTCTCCTCCTCCTCCGTCATCTGCTCCTGTGTGCTCTGATCAGACATATCCCTCTCCCTGAGGTGCAGATTCAATGCCGTCCTTTGAATTAGATTCTTCTGGGAGGAGGTTTAAATGTAAATTTATGGATCTTATTTTAATGCTTCTTTTGATATTTCCTGTGGAGGTTTACAAGAAACTGAAACTTTCTTCATGAACTTTATATAATTCAAGCTGCATGTTTTTAAAAAAAAAATACATTCTATCACCACCTCTTCAACTTTAAGAAAAAAAATTAATCTTAAAATTCTCTTCCCCATTAATAATTTGTTTTCTTTCCTAATGCTTCATGTGAAAATAGTGTGTGCTTATTTTCTTCCCAGTGCACTTGATTTCTCTGTGTTTCTGTGTCTGTAGATATTTGCTTTGTAGTTTATAGCAGTTTTCCTCACTGGAGAGTATAAACTCTGGGAGGAATTTTAATAGCTACTTTATAGAAATGTCCAGATGTAGACTTTCATGTCATCATCATTTACTATCCCTGTGTGCAGGTTGCAGAGTTAATATTTTGCAATTTCCGTAGGGAAGACGTCGACCTCCCACCTCAGGTCCCAGTGTCACGTGAGCACCCGTCCCCCAACCCCCCTCCCCTCCTCTCTTGGCCCTGATGCTGCTGCCACAGACACCAGTCTGAGTGCAGGTCTCCAGCTTGTCTTCAGTAATGTCCCATGGTACCCTGGACAGCCCCAGGCGTGCACACGTGTGCCTGGCCACCATGCCAATTCCTTGGTGTCTGGGCTGTATGCCATGCCCATGGGCTTGAGCTTGCCCCTGCTGCTCTGCCGCCTAGAATCTCTGCTTTTCCCTCCACGCTCCTTCGAGCTGCACTGACACACATGTTCAAAGACGGACTCATGAAGCACTTGACGATGGCAGGCAGCCGTGGAGCATTTGTCCAGGGTGCACAGGCGGTCTGCCCAGGAAACCAGCTCCAGTGCAGCCCTAGTCAATTAGCTCTGAGAAGGCAAGCGCACCAAATACTTCCAATGGATCTGTCCTTTTGAAGATTATGTAAAGGATGTTGCAGTTGGGCTATCCCTTTGGCAGGTGTATGGATGTGAAAATTAGTTCCTTATTCTGGAAACTTGAGAACACTGGTTACAAAAAAAATATGATTGCCCCTGGCTTTGAGAGAAGGCTCACAGCAATCAAAATACTGTCTTCCTATGAGAGTTAGAGCCGAGGTCAGGGATAATATTAAAAATCCTTCGCAGCCGTTTCCCCACTGGCCCCCATGCCTTCAGCCCCTGCTGTGTCAGGGGTGACCCTTGGTTACTGGACAGGGAGTAGCACTCTGCCATGTGCTAGTTGGTGCTGTGGTGGCAGAGAAACCCTCCAATCCAAATCCGTTGTTATCTCATGTCTACACATCACATTTGGTTTTAATAGCCTGGGATCCTTACAGAAGGAGACCTGGTAGTACAGTGGGTTGAGCCACTTGAAACTACTAGGTTGGCAGTTCAAAACCATCAGCCACTCTACCACTCTGCTATTTGCTCCTATAAAGATTTAGAGTCTCAGAAACTCTAAGGAATTTCTGTCTGTAATACATTCTGCTGTGTCCTCTAGGGCCCTGCTGTGTGGAATTGACACAGTGGCTTATCTCTTCAGCAGCAGTTTGCTGGGACTTTCTTCTGTGGGCTGCTGGGTGGGTTCAGATCACCAATCTCAGTTAGTAGCTGATCACAAATCGCCAGTGTCACCCAGGCACATCAGTGTAGTGCAAACTGCAGATTTCATCACCTAGTGAAGTTCTTGGACTGTTATAAAAGAAAGGGGATGTATAATGTCTCAGAAAGGCTTTTAAATTAAAGTACGCAGTTGAATTGAGCATAAAAAGTTGCTCATGGTATGTATATTTTTTGGCCTGCAAAAAATGGCAGTTTCCTGTGGACCAATGTGTAATACATGTTAGGTGCTATGGAGGCAGTTCTGACTCATAACTGTATGCACAACAGAACAAACACGCCATCCTCACAGTTGTTATGTTTGAGCCCATTGTGCAAGTCACTGTGTCAGTCCATCTCATGGAGGGCCTTCTCCTTTCTCTACCTTTCTACTTGACCACGCATGATGTCCGTCTCCAGGGACTGGTCTCCCCTGATAATGTGACCTAAGTGTGTGAGCGATATCCTCACCTTCTTAGCTCCTAAGGAGCATTCTAATACATAACTACGGACACAACTGACTCTAAAACATAACTACAGTTTTGTAAACACTATACCACCAGCGCTCCTCAAGCTAAAACACTTCTGACATAAGTTAAAAGTTGTCATAAACAGCTGTTCGACTGAGTAGTGTTGATATTGATGACAGCTATCCCTGAATAATTAGTTATTACTATGTTTACGATCTCAAAATGTACTCACATTACATATTTATTCTTAGATGTCAACAAAATTCTAGTTGGTTTCTTCATAAGGAAAAAATGTAAATACATAGCTGTGGTCCTCCCACACTTGAATATGAATACCTGTCAGCTACTGTGATTGCTCTCAGCTATTTCTTGTAAGTGCATCCACTGGCACAATGCTTCTGATGTCATGAGCATGATTAGACATGGGGTCAGAGTCCCTGATCGCTTCCGGTGCCCAAGAAAGGGCCTAAACTCATACCCCCCCACCTCTCTCCCTCCAAAAAAAGTCAACTCACTGCCATCGACTCATTTCAACTCATAGCGACCCTTGGGGTGGGGTGAAACGACCCCTATGGGTTTCTAAGACTAACTCTTTACGGGAGTAGAAAGCCTTTTCTTTCTGTCAGAGAGGGCTATTGGTTTCAAACTACTGACGCTGCCTTTAAGCATCCCAGCTTGTCCTCACCACACCACCAGGGCGGATGAAGCCAAAAGAAAGAAACCCCCGAGTTCTCCCTTTAGCACTGTCACTGTGAACCTTTCCGTTCCCAAGGCAAGTTGATGAATGCCCCTAGCCACATGTGTAGCATGGTCTGTGTATCTTTCCTGTGACTTGGTGGTGAAGATATGATGAAGTATTTCTGATGTTAGGGAGAGTACTTTTCTAAATATGCAAAAGCATCCTTTTATTGTGCTAGTAATTTAAAATATGTAGTTACACCATAAAACTTGATCCAGTTTGCATACTGTCCAAGACTACATAAGGAAGCTCAGTTACTTTAGATTTTGCTAGAGAAATCCAGCGCGATCCGAGCTTGCAAACACATTGTAGCTCTCAGCTTTCAGACGTGCAGTAGGTGGCACTCTCTCCTGTGTTTCATGTGTCAACGAACAGAGACAGGCAGACAGAAACAGCGGAGAGAGAGAGGGTGTGTGTTTTAAAGGGTTGAGAAGATGTGTAAAGCGACGTGTAGGGTTCAGTGTTTGGACAATTTGATTATTGAAATCCTGGTTGGCCTGAAAAGGAATGGGCTAAAACAGTCATTTTACTTTTGCAAAATGAGGGAGAAGGAAGATGCCAGAAAAGGTGGAAAGGTTTGCAAAGAAGGTACTGACTATTGTAATCTCAACTTGTAAGAATTTTGATATGGAAACAAATAAACTGGTGCAAGAAAACAAGGCCAAGGTATTTGGAAAAGAGAAGAGAACATTGCATGCAACTGAGACTAGTAAAAGAGAAGGGGGGGGACGGGACAGAAGATTAGGGTGTAGAGACTGCTCAGAAAAAAACCTGGTAGTTCATTGTAATATACCCTTTTTTTTTTACAGCCGTCCCTGCTGTGTCTTTTGCTTTATGGTGTCTTTGTAGAAGATCCAATTCTTTCAAGTTAGTTAGTAGCTGTGCGGCAGCTATGCCAGCCTTTCAGAGTAGTTAAATAAGGGAGTGGGATACCCATGTGGTTAGGCTCTATTTGTGATGCTTACCCCTTCTATGGATTTGAAAATTGGACATGGGATAAAGAAGACAGAAGAAGAATTGATGTATTTGAATTATGGTGCTGGTGAAATACTGAAAGTACCGTGGACTCCCAGAAGAACAAACAGATTTGTCTTAGAAGAAGCTCAAGCCGAGTGCTTCTTAGAGGCAAGGATGGTGAGACTGCGTCCTCCATACTTTGAACATGTAAGGAGAGACCCATACTTAGAGAAGGACACCATGCTTGGTAAAATCGAGGGGCAGCGGAAAGAGGAAGGCCCTCAAGGAGATGGCGTGACACTGTGGCTGTACCGGTGGGCACCTCCAGCATGGGAGCAGTTGGGAGGGTGGCAGGGGCCTGGGCGGCGTTTTCCTCTGTTGTACATTGGGTCACTATGAGTTGGAACACACTCAGCAGCACCTAACCACAACAACAACTACCTCTTAAGACCAGTTGAATATATGTGTGTGTGTGTATAAGTAAGTATGTGTGTATGTATATATAACTGCGTGTATATTCAGAAAGTTGTGCTTCCTTGCCTTCTTACTATTTAAGCAGGCTCTTGTGAAAGAGTTGCAAGTGCTTTGGAGGACTGGACTGTAAAACAAAAGAGAGGAGGATCTTTGCCCTTGCAGGACTTCCTGTGGAGCCTAATCACAGGGCTGAGTGAGAACTTAGAGGAGTAACTTCATCGAGTAGTTTAATATTAATCTTGGGAAAGTAACCCTTGGCATTTAGAGTTCCGACCTTACCGGATGTAGCCTAATAGGATCTTCCCGGGAAGAGAGTACCACCACCACATTAGGATAATTTCTCTTCTGGTGGATGGTATTATCTATTGGCATCTCTCAGCTGAAAAAGGGGGCAAGCAGCGGTTTTACACCTATCTCTACCACCGATCTGACAGTGAGATCCTCCCAGGGGAAAGAGTGAGAGAGTCATCGTCCTGTGTGTTTTTTTTCCTGTTGGAATGAAACTGTGACAAACTGATGTTCTTCTTTTTCATGACAGGATTATAGAATGGAATGAACGAGAGGCAAAAGTAGAAAAGGCCTTAAGACTGAGTTTTCTTAATCAGCTTTCTGAATGTTGCCCCTTGGCACGACCGTTTATTTTCATTGTACCCCAGTGAAGCATGACACATTTCCAAATTTCTCTTTTCTTCCAGGTCAACTGATGAAACATTCAGCTTGGCCGACGAAACCTGTAGTTCCAATCCAGCCATAGTTCGGAGGAAGAAAATTGCCATAAGCGTCATCTTTTCCCTGTGTGAGAAAGAAGAAGCCCAGAGGAACTTCCAGGACTTCTTTTTTTCTCATTTCCCCCTGTTTGAATCTCATATGAACAGGCTGAAGAGTGCGATTGAGAAGGTACTAAGGATGCAATCCAGTATCCACATGGAGGCGTCGCCTGCCATGCTAGGGCTTGTACAGAAGAAGGTAGAGGCTATGTGCTTAAGCATCGGGTCACTTTCCTGGAGACGCGCCATCAGGCACAGCAGTGATACACCCTTAGGCTCGCTGGTGTTAGATATCAGATCCTGGATTGCCCTTTGGAAAGAAAATGACCATTTTCTGATGACTTAAGTCATTATTAGCTTGAGTGCTTTTAATTGGCCATAATTGACCACTGCCTTTTATTCATCAGACCCCAAAGATAAGTGATAAAAGGAATGTCTTCTCAGTAATTTGGCTTGTTTTCTCTTCAATGAAGGCCATGATAACCTGTAGGAAAATAGCAGAATCCAGTCGCCGAGTTCAGCTCTATGTCAGCCGTCTGATGGAAGCTCTGGGAGAGTTCAGGTAAGTTGGTGAAGCTGGGCAGATCCGCGAAGGGAAGTAAATGCACAGGCAAGTCCCTGTGACAGCTTTGGAGCTAGGGGACACAGGAAGAGTGGCTGGGCAGAACTTGGGAGGCTGGCAAGCATTAGTCACTTTGATGGCTCTTTAGGATGGAAACTGTGACCATATAGCGCAAAGGACGACATAATAAGAATAAGTGATAATTAACATGGCTGTGGGTTCTGGGGTGGGTTAGCTATCTTCAGTATGGCCTTGCTATTCTTGATATTGACGAATGTGGATAAATAATGTTCATGTGTCTCTAATGAACCTTCACAAACTCTAAGGAGAAACACGATAAAGCCCATTTTAAAGATGTGGAACCGAGTTCAGAGGGGCTTGTGGAATGCACAGATAAAGGGGAGACAAACATTCCCTTAGCTAGGGCAATCCTGGTTTATACTTGTTGTCCTTGGATCATCTCATTAGTACCCCCTTTCACTCTCAAAAGTGCCCTGCTTTGGACACTAGATTATGTGCTCACCATGCTATGTCACCATAATTTAGATTTACTTGTACTTGTGAACACTGGTTTCCGAGGGCCTTGCTCCTAGCTTATGGGGGAGAAAGGTGATATGCTCTGGGTAGCAGGTGGGATCCTTTTCCAACATGCTGAACTGAGATTGCACTGCCATTTCCTGGAATCAGTTTCTCAAAGGGCTTTGGCATCCCATTCCAAAGTGTCATAAGCTAATGAGTCAAGTGGTTACTGTGTGTGTGTGTGTGGAGGGGGGAGACAGCGGTTCTTAGAATACTAGAACATTACCCCAAACAGAAACACATCACTGAATGAGGAGGTAGTGCTGAGTGGAGACCCAAAGCCCATCTATTGACAATTGGACATCCCCCTTACAGAAGGGTCACAACGAAGAGACGAGTCGGTCAGGGTGCGGTATAGCACCGATGAAATATACAACTTTCCTCTAGTTCCTAAATGCTCCCCCACCCCCCCCACTATTATGACCCCAATTCTACCTACAAATCCAGCTAGACCAGAGCATGAACACTGGCACAGATCAGAGCTGGAAACACGGAACCCAGGACAGATAAACCCCTCAGAACCAATAATGAGAGTAGTGATACCAGGAGGGGAATGGGAATGTGGTGGGGAAAGGGGGAACCGATCACAATGATCTACATGTAACCCCCTCCCAGGGGACAGACAACAGAGAATTGGGTGAAGGGAGACTTCGGTCAGTGTAAGACATGACAAAATAATTTATAAATTATCAAGGGTGAGGGAGGGGAAAATCTTGGCTGATACCATGGGCTGAAGTAGAAAGAACATGTTTTGAAAATGATGATGGCAACAAATGTACAAATGTGCCTGACACTATGTATGGATTGTGATAAGAGCTGTATGAGCCCCCAGTAAAACGATTTTAAAGGGAAAAAGAATACTAGGACATTGTGCGGTACTGAAGGCATGTGTGGCGGTGAACTCTCATGCTGTTTAGAGCCAGTTCCTGCATTTTGGTTGGCGTCAGATACTCAACATGTTCCGGGTGCATTTGTCGTCACCTGGCGGCCGTCATGTCTTCCATCAGATGTTGGAGAAACACTGTGAGGTTGCGTGGTTGAGGGCCGTCTGGTCATCAGTGAACCTTACCAAAGTGCTGTGGACAGGACTGGGTTTGTGCTTTTGGGTTAGCTTCTCTCTAGTGTGATGAAAATATAAAATTTTGCTTTGAGAATGATGATGGCAACAAATGAACAAGTGTGCTTGAAACAATGGCTGACTGGATGGATTGTGGTAAGAGTTGTATGAACCCCCAATAAAATGATTTGAAGGAAGAAAATACCCCTCAATTTTACAAGTCAGGAATTGGAAACTTCAGAACCAGAAAGCCTTGCTGTATGTACAGACAGGCCTTATTCTCATTGCAACACTTAAGAGAGAGTTAAATCTTGGCAAATGAATCCCAGTCCCATTAACCGTACCTTGATTTTGCAACTTAACTCAGCAAATGCTTTGTATTTTGCTGAAGTGGAATTCTTTCACACATGTATTTAAAACAACAAGTCCGGTTATGTTCATCCGTCTTGAAGAAGTAGTGTTGGATTTCTAGAGGCACAGTGCCTCTCACCCCGTGGAGGTCCTAAACTAACCCAGCTACTCTCTGGAACAGCCCTCGTGAGTCATGTGCCTTAGAGCAGAGCCCTCTCTCCCTGCCAGGCATCGAGTGACCTCGTTCCTAACCTGACCTTGTCATTAAGTATTTATGTCTTGCTCAAGTAACTTCATCTCGCTAGGCCTCAGTTTCTTTTTTTTTTTTTTTTAGGCCTCGGTTTCTTAATCTGGGAAGTGATAGAACTGGACTAGTCAGGTTCTCTATTTGCTTAGTGATGAGAACTCTTTGGGTTTTTTTTTTTTTTTTTTTTTTTAAATCTTAAAGGAATTCAGTGTTTTGACTCAGAGAGCCAAAGCGTTAACTAGGGATTCGGAGATTTGAACTGCCTCTAGTTATATTTTCAGTGCAGTATAAACTTTACCCCATCACCACGTGTTCACTATAAAAATGGGTATAAAATAAAAAAAAAAAGGCATGGGAAAACATTGTTATTGAAGTATTTTATATCAGAAGTTGGCATACTTTTCTAGTTAATGCACCTTCTTAGGGTTTGCAGGCTCTAGCTTCTCTGTTGAAATTACTCCCCTTTGTCTTTGTGGTGAGGAAACATCTTTAGGCCACAAACATGTAACTGAATAAGCTTGGCATGTTCCAGTAAAACTTTATTTACAAAATAGGTAGCAGTCCTGCGGGTGGTAGTTTATGGACTAATTTTATGTACTACTTGAATTAGGCACTACAGAGATCCAGGTTTTTTATTCCATTTGTATTCTTTAAAGCAGGGGTCTTCCAAAATAATCATTGTGATAATTTTGTGTCCCCCTTCTCCTCCTGTGCAGAGGGACTATCTGCAACCTCTATTCTGTTCCAAGGATAGCAGAGCCCATATGGCTTACTATGATGTCCAGCACTTTGGAGAAAAACCAGCTCTGCCAACGCTTCCTGAAGGAGTTTACTCTTCTGATAGAACAGATCAACAAAAATCAGTAGGTTTCAACTCTCTCTGGGGACTTGGGTTGGGGTGAATGCAAAGTCCATGGGCAATGCATGTGCACTCATGTGGTTGTGTTTTCTCTCGTTTTTTTTTTTTGTTTTTTTTTTACCAAGGTTTTTTGCTGCCTTACTGACTGCAGTGTTAACCTACCATCTGGCCTGGGTACCAACTGTCATGCCTGTTGACCACCCTCCCATTAAAGCCTTCTCAGAAAAACGCACCTCTCAGTCAGTGAACATGCTGGCCAAAACACACCCATACAATCCTCTCTGGGCACAACTGGGTTCGTACCTCATTTGATTGTTCAGAGGGTTTATTGGATGGAAGAGGGCAAAGGTTAGAAGTTATAGTTTGTACCGGGTATCCGCCATAGTCCTCTCAGGGCTGGCCTGTGCATTCCACTTGTAAAGTGACTACCCCCACCCCCCCGCTGCTCCGGCCCCCAGCAGCTTTGCTACACTTGTTTAAAGTCCTACAAGTAAATCATACATAGGTGGTGGCTATTTAGCCCAGAGTGGAGTTTCTCAGTCTCAGCACCAGTGATAGCTCGGACCAGGTATTTCTTCCTTGGAAGTGCATGGGCTTGGGGAGCAGTCTTGTGCATTATAGGATGTTTAGCAGTATCCGTGGCCTCTGATCACTAGATGCTGTTAGAAACAAATCATCCCACTCCACTCATTTCAAAAACTGTCTCCAGACACTGCCATATGTCCCCAGGAGAGCAAAACTGTCCCTTAGTTGAGAGTTGAGAACCACTACCCTAGAGACCAGACTGGATGAAAGAAAGAGAAAGAACAATCGCACCGTTTTCCGAATGCTCAGGTCAGAAGTCTTGTCTTTCTTCATGTGGCGCACTTGCAGTTAGTTGGCAGTATGTATTCTCTCCACACTGTGTACTCAAGCACTCAAACGTGGCATCGAGTTGGGGACTTGTGGGACCAGAACTGACTGCATATTTTGGTTTCTGGGCAAGAGTGATGTACCCTGTTCTTATTCATGAAACATTTAGCACAACAAAGCACACACATTTACTCTGTTCCAAACGCCATGCTAGGTGCCAAGGATACTGAGTTGAGTAGCATGTGTTGCTTAACTTCAACACAATGAGCATGAGCAAGTTACTTATCTTTTTGTACCTTAATTGCTTCATCTGTGAAAGAATTGCAGTGAGACTCAGTATACCATATATACTCGATGATAAGCCAACCCAAATATCAGCTGAGGCACCTAATTTTACCACAAAAACTACATTAAAAATGTGCTGAAAACTCAGTTTAGCAGGCATCAAAGAAGGAAAAATCATATCATTGTGTGCTCGCCTTCCTGATACGATTGCTGAGGACAAATGGGGGCATAAGCAAGTGTGGTGAAGAAAGCTGATAGTGCCTGGCTATCAAAAGATAATAGGGTCTGGGGTCTCAAAGGCTTGAAGGTAAACAAGCAACCATCTAGCTCAGAAGCAGCAAAGCCCACATGGAAGAATACACCAGCCTGTGTGATCATGAGGTGTGGAAGGAATCAGGTATCAAGCATCAAGGAACAAAAATCACATCATTGTGAATGAGGGGGAGTGCAGAGTGGGGACCCAAAGGCCATTTGTGGGCAACTGGACATCCCTTTACAGAAGGGGCGGGGAAGGAGACAAGCTGGTCAGGGTGCAGTGTAGCAACGATGAAACATACAATTTTTCTCTAGTTCTTAAATGCTTCCTCCCTGCAACTATCATGATCCCAATTCAACCTTACAAATCCAGCTGGACTGGAGGATGTACACTGGTACAGATAGGAACTGGAAACACAGGGAATCCAGGACAAATGAACCCCTCAGGACCAGTGGTAAGAATGGTGGTACCGGGAGGGTAGAGGGAAGGTGGGGTAGAAAGGGGGAACCGGTTAACAGGATCTACATATAACCTCCTCTCTGGAGGACGGACAACAGAAAAGTGCGTGAAGGGAGACGTTGGGCAATGTAAGATGTGACAAAGTAATAATGACTTGTAAGTTATCAGAGTCATGAGGGAGCGGGGAATGGTTTGGGAGGGAGGGGAAAAATGAACTTATGCCAAGGGCTCAAGGAGAAAGCAACTGTTTTGAGAATGATGATGGCAACAAATGTGCTTGACAAAATGGATATATGTATGGGTTGTGATAAGCGTTGCAAGAGCCCTCAATGATTTTAAAAAACTACTTATACACGATTACATACGGTACTTATGTACAATACTTTGATAATATTAAATGTTAATATTAAAATCATTAATATGGGAAGGGCACAGAGAGAGAGAGCAAATGAGCTGACTTTAGGGAAGTGTAATGTGGTGTCTTACATTTGAAAAAAAGTTAACAGACTGGGGAAAGCACTATAATTTTAGGAAACAAGTATATTGTAATAGTGATAATGAAAGTTGGTACCATCAACTAAGCTGTGTGAGTAATTTTCATATTAATTCACTAGATTGGCAATATATCCCCATTGCTATTGTCTTTTTTATACGCTTGAGCCCATTGTTGCAGCCACTGGGTCAATCTATCTCATTAAAGGTCTTGTTTTTGGCTGATACTTTAAGCCTGGTGTCCATCTGCAGGGTCAGATCCCTCCTAATAACCTGCCCAGAGCATGTGAGACAAGCCTCTCCATCCTCTCTTCTAAGTAGCATTCTGAGTCTACTTCTGCCAAGACAGATATACTTGTTCTTCATGTACATATACATATATGTGTATTTACATATAGATAATATTTCTCACAAACAGCATTATTCGTAGTCTTCAGTTCTTTTTTTTAAAATTCATTGCCCAGTTGTGGCATCTGGAGGGATATGAGGTGATTGAAAATACTATGTGTCTCAGGCACACCTTAGTCCGCAAACTGACCCCTTCGCTTTGTAACACTTTAGAGAGGTCCTTGGCAGCAGATTTGTGCAATACAATCCATTGTTTGCTTTCTTCACGGTTGTTTCCGTGGGTATTGATTGTGGATGCAAGTAAAACGACCATTTTGTCAATAAGTATTTTCTCATTTATCATGCTGTTGCTTATTGACCCAAATGTGAGGACTTTTAGTTCTTATTTCCCGTCTTTTAAGTGATCTTTTGCTTTCCTTGTGATGCTGTCTGTATTACCACACAATTCATTTGATGTGTAGTCATTAGTCTTCTTTGCATTAAATCTATTCTTAAGATGGTCTCCAAATTCAAGTGGGATATACTCAAGGTCATACTTTGGATCATGCAGGCTTGTTTTAGTTTTATGTATCTTCCATATGAATTTGCATATGAGCCATTGGCAATCTGTTCCACAGTCAGCCCCTGACCTTGTTATGACTAATGATACTGAGTTTCTCTATTGTCTCCTTCCACAGATGTAGTCTTTTTGTCAAAGTTAGCTTTATATAATTAACATACCATTTAGTAATTCAGTCTTATTAATAAAGCTGCAGTCTTCACCACAATCAACTTTGGAATACTTTCTTACTCCTTATACTCAATGGTGTTGAAAATGTAGTCAGGTTTTTTTCCTGTGTGTTACATCTGGTGAGGTCCACTTATAGTGTTGAAAAAAGGTATTTGCCATGAAAGGATCATTGATCCTACACAGTTCTATCGTGCAGATTGGTCACCAGTTTCATGTCTGTCACCACGATTCTGTTTTCCAACTCCCGATCCTCCTTTTGCATTCTAATCAGTTGTTATCATTGCATGTTGATTATGTGTTTGGTCAACTTCAAGTTGGTAGAAATCCTCAGTTTCTTTCTCTTTAGCATCAGTGGGTGGTGCATAAATTTAAATACTAATCATGTTCACTGGTTTCCCAACAGAAAAAACTCACTGCCAACCAGCCAATTCTGACTCACAGAGATCCTATTGGACAGAGTAGAACTGCCTCTGGGATTTTTGAGACTGTAATTCAGTTTATACATACATGGGTTTATTCCTAACAAACTGTAGCAGAGTGAAATTTTTCTTTCTTTTTTAATTTTCCTAAATTATTTTTTAATTATAATTTTTAGTTAAGTTATCATTTTAATTGTGGCAATAATAGACACAACAAAACATTCTAATTCAACAATTTCTACGTGGTTTATTCATGCCATTGATTATACTCTTGGTGTTGTACAACGACTTTTTTATATCCTTTTCCAAGTTATTTCCAAATTAACATACTGTACAGACTCGTCTATAAGTTGAGTTTTTCAGCGCATTTTCAATGCAGTGTTTGTGGAAAAAGTAGGTGCCTGGCTGATACTCGGGTTGGCTTATGATCGAGTATATACGGTAAATCCAATGCCGCCTCTGCACAAACTCCTCTTCCTTCACTCTTGGTAATCATCAGTCAAGTTTGGTTGTGCTCTCTTTTTCCTTTATATAATATTCACATACCATACACTTCATAGTTAGCTTTTTAAAAGAGTTGTATATACATTGTCACAACCAGTTCTAATGCCCTCCCGGCTGCTGCATTCATGGTTTACTCCCCAGAGCCCCTCACCACCACCAGCTCCCTTCACAATAAACCATTGCATTACTTTGTTTCTGTATCAACTCCTGTGCTTCATAAACTGGGAAAGCTAACAGAAATAATAAAAAATGAAACAAAGAATAAAATAATAGTGTAAAGATAAAAATAAAGAGTAAGAAAGAAAAGACCACCAACAATATTTTATAAGCCAGAGAAGAAATTTCTCTTGTGGAATGAGCCAGAAATACTTGAGCCTAGAGCAAATTCAAGTTGGGTCAAGAGGGAGGTCAACTGACCAAGTATTATACCATATTAGTATTCGATCCACCATAATCAAGTTTACAAAATCTCTGATAAGTAATCTGTCTTTACTTTATTGATAAGTAAAGCTGTTCGAGTCCCTTGAGAAACTGTAAATGTTAATAAGAATAGAAAGCTTCATCTTCCTCCTAGAGATGGCGGTTTCAAACTGCTGACCTTGTGATTAGCGGCCCAATGATTAACCCAGGATGCCCCCAGGACTCCTCCAGAATTGTAGGCCTATGAACAGCATTGTGTTTCAGGATAGGTATTGAATTGTTATTTTTGATATTGAATATCATGCTAGTCCTCTTTAATTTCTTACTCCCAGCATGAGTGTCTAATTCCAAATGACCAGTACAAGTCTATTTCAGCACACAAATGCCTTCGATAAGGAGCCCTGAGCTTTTAACCACAAGGTCAATGGTTTGAACTCACCATCTGCTCCCCAGGAGAAAGATGAGACTGTGTACTGCTATTAAGATTCAAGGTTCCCGAAACCCAAAGGGGTAGTTCTACCCTATCTTCT